CCTGGTTGCTAGAGATGTATGAACAAGTGTGTGATTACTTGGCCTTTCTTGGGCAAGGTTCTCTGTATAGACTGTAGAGATAACAGCTATTTCTCAAATGTGGTTATTGAGGTGGTTAAATGAGAATGCATGTTGAAAGTGTATAGTAAAATGTAAAATCCTGTGTTGAAGTATGTGATAAATCTTATGGCAGATATGTGTACAGGTCATCAAGGGGCACAAAGAAGAGAAACTATAATCTGGAAATGGATGGAGAGGGAAAACTTTGTGGAGGAGGGAGTTCTGATCTGAGTCTTAAGGGCTAAGGAAGAGCAAGCCTGGCAAAGAAGGAAGAAGGGAAAGCCATTCCAGGTTGAAGGAGTGGTTGGGGGAATATGGTACATTCAGAAAGCTGCAAATACGATTGGAGCTTAAACTCTCTACTTGTGGTACCTAATTTGATTATTGGGACTACTTACCTAACTCTAAAGAGGCAGTTATTGCACAGTGGTTAACAATGCTAGAAACAAACCTGGTCTGAAACCTGGTTTCATCATTTGCTTATCTGTTATACCTAATTAAGAACCTTACCTTCATAAACCTTTAGATTCAGTATGATGATACAAGTACCTACTTCAAAGGGTTGTTGCAGTGATTATTTGAGATAACATTTGCAAATCTCCTGGTGTTTAATAAACATGTAATAAATGTTAGCAGCAGTTTTTGTTGCTGCCCTGAAAGTTCTTAGAGTGACTTTTCCCGTGAGTATTCTGTAATCTACTGTTCTAGGCTAACAGTTTAGCAGTATTTTAAACACGAACTCTTGTTTGTTCTAGTGCAATTACAGAAACAGAATTTGAATGAATTTTAAGGATGGTTTAACTCAGTTTCACTCTTTTGTGTGTTAAGAAACTAAGTCACAGTTAAATAACCTGTCTGCGATGTCACAGTGAATCAGTGACACAGCTGGGACTAGAATGAGGTCTCTTTCATTTCAGAGTTCTTTTATTGGTCTTGGAGTAAATTGCCCCAAATCGCTCAGAGATGCTAACTGATATAACATTGGCCACAGTTTCTAGCAGAAACAATATAAGTTAGCAATGTAGAAATTGGCATTTCAGTAGCTTTACAGATAGGGAAATACATTTTTTAAAGGAACACAATATCCTTCTCTGCCTGCTCTCTGGTGGAAGTGCTATTTAGCAACAGCACATGTGAAAGAGCAAGGAGAGGCAGGTAATAAGGAACCAGATAGTTCTTTTTTTTTTTTTTGCTGAGAAATATTAGCCCTGAGCTAACATCTGAGCGAGTCTTCCTCTATTTTGTATGTGGGTTGCTGCCACTGCATGGCCACCGATGAGTGGTGTAGGTCTGTGCCCAGGAACTGAACCTGGGCTGCCGAAGCAGAGCATGCTGAACTTAACCTCTAGGTTGTGGGGCTGGCCTCCAGATACTTCTTAAATGAATAATTCCTTTGCCATCAAGAATTTCTTACACAGACAAATTCCTATTTCTGTTCATTTGGGTCTCCTCACTAAAATGTGAAAGTAGGTTTTCATAATACTTGTCAATGAAACATGTTCTACTTCATTTACTCAAGAGGATCCAACAGTTAATTTGTTGAGCACCTTTTCTGTACCGAGTGCTAGGGATAGAATAGTAAGTGAGAAGCTTATGCTGAGCAGCCCTGATGGCCTAGTTGTTAAAGTTCAGCATGCTCCACCTCTGTGGCCCCGGTTTCAGTTCCCAGGCACGGAACCACACCACTCGTCTGTCAGCAGCCATGCTGTAGCAGCAGCTCACATAGAAGAACTAGAAGCACCTACAATTAGAACATACAACTATGTACTGAGGCTTTGAGGAGGAAGCCAGAAAACAAGAAGATTGGCAACAGATGTTAGCTGTAGGTGAATATTTCCCAGAAGAAAAAAAAAAGAAACTTATGCTTTAGTGGAATAAACAGATGTTGAAATAATGATCATACAAATAAATAATTATTATTAGTTAAATGCTGTGCATAAAAAGTACAGAGTGACTTATAATCATGTAGCAGTGTTTGGGAAGCTTTCTCCTGAGGAATTAAAGTTTTAACTGAAATAGGAGGGCTCAATAAAGTAAACAGGTGAAGATGAGTCAGAGAAATGGAGAAAAGGATCTCATACTGAGGAAACAGTATGTGCAAAGGCCCTGAGGAAGCACATAGTATGATCTCGCCTAAGAATTGAAAGACAGCTAGTGTTTTTTGAGCAGAGCAAGCTAATATTAAAATTCAAGTCCTGGTCATGAGAAGAGAAAGGAAGGTATTTACTAGGCATCACTGAAGAAACCAGACATCTCAAGATGTGAGCCTTCCCCCAAAGTAAACTGTGTGCCCTATGTTAAAATTTTGTTATTTTAAACAGTCATTGTAAAGAAAATTACTTTAGAACCACTATAATATTCTATTTGCTAGGTGGAGTAATACTAGGATTTGAACACTTTTTCATTGATTTTTCTTCCTTTCTATCCTGGCTCATTTAGAATTGAGTGAATATTTTGATGTACTGAAGCATTTAGAGCAGGGACTTTTGCTGTTGATCAGTTGAACAGCCATAGAAATGACAGAGAGAATCTTATCCTGTTTTCTTGGCTGAGGTTTTGTGTGGGTGTGTAGGTGCAGCTGCACTGTCAGTTTCTTGGCAGTCAAGACAGGGCAATTCTCAATGCAGTGCATCTTGAATAGAAAGAAATTTAAGAGCTTTAAAAAAGCTACTTTGAATGTATTAAATTCAGTGGGAAGCACCCCAGGCCTGAATCTTTGGCTGATATTCTAAGTTCTTTGGCTAAATGGCTACGGCAGCCTCAGGCACATGTCCAAGATTGTGGCAGGAACACATGAAGGAGAGAACATAAAAAAGTAGTCAAAGCTTTGTCTCAGTATAAAATTATCAGTAATCATATGTATTTTTTAAATGAACTTTTGTTAATTTTTTGTTTATGATTTATTTAAGCTTTTCCTCTAAAGAGCACTTAATGAAAAAGCCATATTGTGAAAAATTAGCTTTGCTTGCAAAAGTTAATTCATAATTTTCTGTAGTTTATCAGGAAGATCTTTTCTCAGATTTATACCTCCACAGATGGAGTCCTAGTTCTGCTTTTGTTTCTCACTTGTTTTCTTTTCTCTCTTTTGACCTTTGCGTGATCTTTGTTTTCCCAGACTCTCAGATGCAGACAGTATGGAGCTCTCTTCATTTTCCAAGCATATTTGCATCCTGTCCTGTGGATAAGCTCATCATTGTCCTTTATACTCCTTAAGCAGAAATGTCTGAGTTGCTCCCAATGTTTAACTGCTTGTTTATATCTCTACTGCTATTTATTATTATTGATCTCAGAATAGCATAGAGTCAAGTCCTGAGGTCATTCGGTCTGGGTTCAAATCCCATCCTGCTGCTGACTATTTTAGTCTCTTAACTTCTCAGTTTCTTATCTCCATAATGGAGATAGATAATCATGTCAGGGCCTCATAAGTTTTTCTTCTTAAAGCCTTAAAGGAAAAAATGTATATGAAGGGCTTAATTCAAAATAAGTGTCTGGGAGGAAGAGATGTTAGCTATCATTTTCTTCATGATTTAGGGCCAGTCTCCTAGAATACATTAATAGCTATGCTCACTCTTCTGGGGATCTCATTCAGTCTAAAGACCATCTGTATGCTGACAACTCCCAATTTCTCTCTCTTTTCCTAACCTTACTCTTCCCTAAGCGCCAGACTTGCTACTGTTTATCTACACTTAAGTGTCTCATGCATACTTCAAACATCACATGTCTAAAAACAGAACTTTTGATCTCTGTCACCTGCCCCTACTTGCCTCCCCAATCTGTTCCTCCCCAATCTGTTCCTCCCCATTCTTTCCTATCTCAGTTTACGGCACCACCCTCTGTACTTTTTTTGGCTTTCCTCTAGCTACCAATCCCCATCCATTTCATCAGCACATCTAGCAGCATTAACCCCAGAATATGTCCTGAATCTGACCATTGTCACTATATCCTCTACTGGCACCATAGTCCAAGGCAATAGCCTCTTTTGCTTAGACTGTTCTATAAGAAATGTTCTCCTTATTTCTCTCTGTTTTCAGTCTTGTCTCCTGCAAACCATTCCCTACATTGAAGACTGATATTTTAAAAATATTGATTATTTTACCCCCCCTCTTCTTGAAATTAGAAAAATATCCAGAAGTTTTGAAATTCTGTGACCTGGCCTCTCTGATTGGTTTCTTCCTATGTCTCAAACACAGCTAGTTCATTCCTATCTTAAGGCCTTTGTACTAGTTTCTCTGTTTGGGATATTTTTTCCCAGATCATCACAATGTTGGCTCCTTGCAATTTTTAGGTTTCAGTTCAAATAGCTCCTCACAGAGGTATACCCTGACATCTTTCCTTTCTTTATTAATATGTGAACACTATCTGAAATTTCCCCCCCTTTTCTTCCTGCTTTCATAAATTGCCCCTTCCCACTCCCAAAAGAATTTAAGTTCCATGAGGGCAAGGACTTTATCCATCTTGTTGACTGCTGTGTTCTCAGTGCTTAGAATGGAACCTAATACTCAGAAGGTTTACATTGTTATATGGATGAATGGCTAAATGAAAGAAAGAAAGAATAGATAGATATCTGGTGAATTTTCTACAACCAGGGAAGTAATGGATTATTTCATCCTGTACAAACTTTGCATAGTTGCTTATTTTATAATTAACCATGCTAATGTTTTGTTCTGTTTTACGTGTCTTCTCTGTTCCCTATTGTTAGCCCTTAAAGGTAGGAGATATGTCTCTGTTGTTTTAGCTTCTTATAGATTGCTAAATACCAATTTAGTACTCACTGATGATTGACTTGAATTAAAAATTCAATCTAACATCTTTACTGCCTCTGAAGTTATAGTAATTTTACATATATGTGTGTATGTATATAAATGTATACGTATAATTTATATAAATTCTAAAAGCAGTTGTGTTTGAAATATGTCTTCCTCTTTTATAAACTCTTGCAGTTCATAATTGGACCCTCGAGGACACACTTCAGTGGTTGATAGAATTTGTTGAACTACCCCAATATGAGAAGAATTTTAGAGACAATAATGTCAAAGGAACAACGCTTCCCAGGTGGGTCTTTATTATCCAAATGTATTTTTCCAGGCATGGAGAATTATATGCTAGGTGTTACTTTTCAATGCCGAATCTACAAGTTACTTCTGTGGCTAAGACCTCTAAGGAAATATTATAAATATGTCTGTTCCTTTAATTTTTTTAAGGTATGAATTTTTCTTGTCTAAATGATCAGACCCTTTTTAAAATTTATTCCCAAGGAAAGTAATTTTGAGAATTAGAAGGTGGGCCAACTACATCTTTTTTAGATAACATCAAAGGGCCAACCACTTGGTAACTATAGTGAAAATTTATTCATTTGATATGGATCCACCTTTATGAAAAGACCTGTTTGAATTGATTAATGTGCAAATCCTTCTTAATTGATAGTCTTTTAATAGCAACAATAACTGCTTAATATTAGTGGCCATAAGTTAAATCTCAAAAAAGTGAAGTTCAATAAACAAAATATAAATAATAACAACCATTTTTAAATGTATATTACATGGAGATATTCTGTATTATCTCATTTAAGCTACATGGTTAAAATGAAGTATGTATTATCATCCCCATTTTACAGATTGAAAAAACCAAGTTGGAGAGAAGTTAAATATTTTGTCAGAGGCAGCTTTTAAACCCAGATAGGTCTGGTACCAAAGTCTAGGATACCAGTTTATCCCTTAGATGCCTGGAGTTAATTGTTACTAGTTTTCTAAATTATGTTTTCTAAATCTCCGTTAGTTAACTTAATAATCCTTATAGATTTACGTGTTAAAATTTGCAACAGTTCTACCAGAACTTGACCCTTACAAGTTTGCTTATGTTCCATTCCTCCCTAGATTGTTTCTTGTATAAAAAAAGTCTCTAATCCCTTATTACTATCTAATTATTATATATGATGAAATAGGCACATTGTATTTATAATCAGTTTGCTTATATACCCTATTTAAATAAGTGGCTTTTGTTGCTTTGAAGTTTGTATTTTAGATCAAGTTGAGAGTTTTCCCATCTCCCTTAAATGTATTCTGAAATCAACGTCAGTATTTCTGACTTTGCTGTGCTCATGACCATAATGATGAAATTACAGGGATAAGTCAATTCAGCAAGTGTGTATTGAGTATCTTTTGTGTTCGTGGTGCAACTAGATGCTGGAAAGAAGAGAAAAATTAAATAAGATATAGTTCTTTTAAAGAAGACAGGTTCCTAAGTTAAAACAGAACAGAATAGTAGAGTATTAAAATGGGATTAGGGCTTTTCTAGTTATATATGTTACCTCAAAAATATACATTATGAGGAACTCATAGTATTTTTCTTATGTTGTCTTTTAGGATGTTTCTTTATGTAACAACGTGAAATAAAATAGGCTGCACTATGTTTGGCAATAAATGTTATAGCCACTTTTTTCTTTTGATTAAGTAAAGGTGGTCAAAGATTCCTCAAACTGTTAGAATTGTTGAAATAACATCACACAATCAAGATAATTTTTTATAATAGTGAACACGTTACTACAGAAGAAAAATTATAAATGTAGACATTCAGCTTTCAGATCAGCCCATTGGAACGTTTCTGAGTTCAGGAGAAGGGAAAACTGGAATACCCTTCATCAAACCCCTTTTGTATGGTAATGGCAATTAGATGAGTCAATTTAAAGGGGCAATAAAACAACTATGTAAGTTACAGAGCTTTTTGTAGGGTAACTATAGATGTACACATGCCTACAACAATTCATTATTATGTTTCTTTTCTGTGACATTAAAATATTGTTACATCTATAGTAGGTAGCCAAAATATGTTAGTTTTATGTTAGTTATGGTTATCTTAAGCCTTTTGCTGTATTTTCTATACTCTGTAATTCTTATTACCAGAGCTTATACTAAGGCTCTCTTCACCTGACACATGCCTCCTCATTCCTTTCAGACCTGTGTGAACTTCCCTGACATCCTCACCCACTCAGGTAGAATCACTTCCACCTCTGGGCTCATATCGAACTTTGCGTAAAATTCTGTTATAGTTTCCTTTTTACTACATCTCATTGTCTTTCTCAAATTTAGTCTCTTGATAGTGTTGCTATTACTTCATTCATGCATCCATCCATGCATTCATTCTTCTATTATACAAACATTTATCAAGCATCTACTTTTGCCAAGCACCACGCTAGGTTTGGGGATACAGGGATAAGACATAATTTTTGCCTTCAAGCAGTTTTGATAAGTGTCATGTTAAAAGTGTAACCGGAGCATACTTGAAAGGTACCTGCGGAAAAGATGAATGAAGGAAGGCCTTTTGTAAAGGCAGGGTTGGAGTTCTTTACGCTCTGAAGTTTTGTAGAAGCCTCGTAAGAGTTCCTGTAACTTCTCCGTAATCAGAGGTTCTGATATCTTCCTAAATAAAACATATTGGTTCAGAGTGCGGTCGTTGGAATCATACATATTTGGGTTTGAATCCCTGCCTTACCTCTTACTAATTATGTAACCTTGGGCAAGTTACTCATCCTCTCACTACCTTAGTTTCCTCATCTATAAAATGGGAATTATATATATATTATAGGCTTTTTTGAATTTTGATTAAGCCCTTGGCGCAGGACCCGGCACATAGTACATGCTTGTTTTTAATGTCATTGTTATTAACAGTTTTATTATTATTATTAGACTTTATGTTAAAAAGATTTTTATTGGCATCATACTTGGTTGTTAAGAAATCGTAGTTGATTACTGGGCTACTTGGATTTGAAGTCCAAAACAAAGTGATTTTATTTGACCTGTACCTTTTAGCCCCCTGCTTTCTTCATTGCTAATAAAATGGTTCAGTACTTCTGTACATAAATTTCTCAGTTTACTCCCCCAACCGGTGATGACTTCTTACTTCCCACTTATGACTTCAGTGGACTTTGTTTAATTTTTAAACAGTTTAAACATTAGAATGTAAAGGTATAGATTTTTAAGATACTTTGAAAGAAAAGCAATATGAGCTAAATTGAGAACTATTTTTTAAAGTCTGCTATTGATGTTAAATAAATTATTTGTAATTTATTCTTTGTTCTTTGTGAAATGATACTAAAGTGCAAGAGGTAACTAATGATAAAATATTTTGAATTTGATAAATTTCTAAACCACAGCAACTTATAGCATAAAGTAACCTTAGAAAACAAAAACATCAATATAGCAGCTAAATTATTAACATACAGGAGTGTATTTTCAGCACACTTTGCACTGAAAAAGCTTTTGGTACGTGTAATAGAGTATTAACTCACACGTGGATGAGCCCTTATAGTAATCATCACTTATATGTAAAGTATTAAATACGTTGCTCAAATATTTAAATTTACATACTACGAGTATTTTTATTTGATATGTATGTATTTTTTAAATGAACAGGATTGCGGTACATGAACCTTTGTTTATGACCTCTCAGTTGAAAATCAACGACCGGAGTCACAGACAAAAACTTCAGCTCAAGGCACTGGATGTGGTTTTGTTTGGACCTCTAACACGTTAGTATTCTCTCTCAAAGAGTATGGTACAAAAGAATAACCAGATCATCTATCTGTTATTTAAAGAAGGAAAAAGTAAGGTAGTGGATCACTAAGATGAATTATCTCTTAGGTGTCAAAGAAAGGTAATACTATCTTAAGACAAAAGATTTGTAGAGTGAGATTTTCTGTCATGGAAATATGGAGTGTGAAATTTTCAAAGCTGGTTACTGATGTAAAAACTAAGTTGATAATTTAGAATTAAATTTCTAGATTTAAAACTTTGGATCTTTATAAAGTTTTAAGCTGTGTTTATAGCTAAATATTCACTGAAGAATCCCTTTAAAAAATAGTGCAATCTAACCATCTTGATGGCATGAAGTGATAGATTCTGACTTAATTTCATTAATCACCAAAAAAGGGATATTTTTAGATACAGATTAAAAGCAAAGACCCAACTGAAACTACAAAGTAGCAGTCTATCCTGGCAGAAGCTCAAGGTGGAGAATGTTATTTGATTGTTCTTTAGATTGTTTTGAAAAGGAACATTTAAGAATTTGTTATGTCATATTTGTAAAGAAAATCAACCTTGTAATACTTTACTTTGACAGGAATATTTTTTCCCCCTGAAAATGTTAACATGTGTATTTTATTTAATTTAAAATTTCAGAAAGCTGTGAGGGAAAGTGAAGAGTACACATTTTAGAGGAATTATGTTTTATTTTTCAGAAGCCAAAAAGGAATAAAATTAATACAAGAAAAATGGCTTCCACAAATTATGAATTAGCAAACTAATGTTTATGTTACCTCGGTTCCTGGAGTTAGGAGACTCGCAGTTTTCTCTGCTACCGTCTTGGGGGGTGGCCCTGCTAAAAAAAGGGCTACTGGAGTAGTTGGATGGATTCCATGACTTTACTGGTGGTTCTTTTTTGGCTCTGGCTAAAAGAGCAGCTGGTAAAACAGCTGGAACTCCTCTTGTGAGAGTTGGTAGAAATGCACTGTTGGTGGAAATTACAAACCCTAGGAAATAGAACGCTGCTGAAATGCCCAGCATTCCACAGAGATGATGCCTTTTCTAACCTTCTCCTTGTCCTACGTTTTTGACTGAATCTACTGGGGGTTGTCTTCTGTGAGATTCTATCTAATTTTTTTATGTGTATGATTGGTGAAAACAGGACTTAAACTATTGAATTTGTCTGTATATACAACTTGGTCCTGAACATTTATATTTTATTAATCCAGGAACAAACCACCCTCTAAGCCAAAGCAGTATTGTGTTATCGTTTGAAAAGAAACCAAAGTAGTCTCAAAGAATGTTGAAAACAAATGTTTTAATAAACAAACCAGTTAAGAAGTTAATGATGCATTACGTTTTTAATGTGTTTCTGTTAGAAGTATTGAATAAATGAGCCCTAAGTCAGAACACCCACGTTACATTTATAAAAAACTAGCCTTGTCAGATGAATAGAGATACATTTTGGAGGAGTTTTCACTGAAATCTTTTCTGGTTTTTGATACTTATTATAGAGTTTGGGACTTGTCCATCTATTTATTGTTATTTCTGCTTATTATATTTTAGCCTGAACGGCTGCATATTTGAGCTAGATCCTGAGCTGAACGTCTCAGTCTGAGGCAGAAATAAAAATAAATCCTTTTGAGACTTCAGTCTTCTGCAGTGCATCTCTGTCACTGTAGGTGAGGGTGTGCCCTCTGGGAATAGGCAACCCTGAGGGTCACTCACATAGAGCATCTGTCACACTATGTAAACATATAGGAACGCTAGACTTGTAAGCATAGGAACTTGTCATTTCTATAGAGCTCTTCATCTGATCAAATAAGCAAAATGTCTTCCTGCTGGAGGCTTGGCCAGTTAGGCAGTTTTCCACTGTAAACTACATCTCTTTGGAGCAAATAATGCATTATATTATGTTACTTATCATTGTGTTTCCCTTCAGAGAGTCCCCTGAAAATTAGTGTGTATTGACAGAGATAAACTAGGAAATTATTTGACTAGTGATTTTTGTGTTTTGTGTCACTGAAGACAGTAGGCCTTGGCTCCTCACTCCTTAGTTTAGAAACAATACTGGAGGTTACTGTCATGCCTAGTGTGGTGGGGAAGCAATCCTGTTCTTTCCCTCTAGTAATCTAGACAACTCTGGCAAATAGTCACCTAAAACGATGCTTGTTATCATCATTTAACCCATAGTTTATCAACCTTGGCACTGTTCACCTTTTGGGCTGGATAATTCTTTGTTACCGGCAGAAGCGGGGCAGGAAAGAGATTGTCTTGTGTATTATTGGATGTTCAGCAACATCCCTGGCCTCTACCCACTAGAGAGAAGTCACAACTCTCGCCCCCTCCCCAACTGTGACAAGCAAAAATTCTCAAATGTCTGCTGGGGGAAATATCACCCTTGTTGAGAATCACTGATTAATCTTAATTAGTTAACATGGCTACATACTTGGGAAAAATTCTTTTTGGTAAATGATTGGGATTCCAGTTTGTGTATAAAAGCATGACAGTTGCCTTACTTAAATGAAAGAAAGGAGCTGGAATGATAATGGTGATACTCTTTGTGACTCCTTTCACCCCATAGAGGACCGTTCTCGAGGTACATGGTTGGAGATGCTGTTGCTTTTTCAGGGGTCCCCAGGACTTTTGTTACCACCTCCTCTACTAGCCAGGGGTAGGTGCATCCATGTGGGTTTATCTCTGCCCTCCTACAGGTCTAGAATATCAGGTAGTTATAATAAGCACATTGATTGTTTGAAGAAAGAATTTTTAAAACGCTAGAGCTTGTATATGGGAGGGGCATCTTTATGTTTTGTTTTGTTTTAGATGCCTACCACTTAAAAAAACAAAGCCCCTGTGTATTGAGGTTCTCTTACAAAGATTAATCCCTGTAATTCTCTTCATAGGCCCTCCTCATAACTGGATGAAGGATTTTATCCTCACAGTTTCTATAGTAATTGGTGTTGGAGGGTGCTGGTTTGCTTACACACAGAATAAGACGTCAAAAGAGCATGTTGCAAAAATGATGAAAGACTTAGAGAGTCTGCAAACTGCGGAGCAGAGTCTAATGGACTTACAAGAGAGGTGAGAAAGTAAAGAAAGCTCTAAGTCTTGTTATAATTCATGAAAATGTAGCATGGGCATGTCCTTACACACTTATATTCAGGTTAGTACACACATCAGGAATGTATGTGCATTTTGTTTCATATTTTTAGAAAAGTATTATATTATCATAATTACAGATTTATTATGAAGGTATGCACTAGGGAATAAATGGGTAGAAATACAGTGGAAATAAATCAAATATAGGTGAAATTATATGTGGAGTTAAATTTTATTTTTAACATAATTTAAATAATTATGAATTTCTTAAAAGTCTCTTTGCCGAAGAGTATTTCTCTGCTATCCCTGTGTTTTGAGCTCAAGATAACCAAAATAGTAGTGTGGTAGGCCAGCTGTTGTTTTTGTTATCCAAACTTAAGTAAGATTAATAGAAAATGCTTTGAATTCTGATTGAAACATGTATCCTATTGCTTGACACCTATTTATTCTTCATTAAAAAAATGAAATTCTGGAAATTTTTGTGAGGACTTTTCATTTTTATTGTCTGTAAGGCTTGAAAAGGCACAGGAAGAAAACAGAAATGTTGCTGTAGAAAAGCAAAATCTAGAGCGCAAAATGATGGATGAAATCAATTACGCAAAGGAAGAGGCTTGTCGGCTGCGAGAGCTAAGGGAGGGAGCTGCATGTGAATTGAGTAGACGTCAATATGCAGAGCAGGAATTGGAACAGGTATTTACATTTTAAAGAAAAGTACTCGTTAGGGTATTTGTAATGCTACTGTGAGAAGTTTTTTGTTTTTGTTCAGTCTCCTACATTTAATTTCATTGTAGACTCTTCCTTAGTTAATAAAAGAATCATTTGTTCTTATTGTGGGCATTGATCAAAGTGCACATAGCAAAATAACAAAGAGGTAACTAACAGAAAAAGTTACCATTTTGTTCACTCATTCATGAAATCTTATCCCACGTCGTGTTAATTATCTTGAGTAAATTTGAGGTGTTTAACACCTGTATTATGTTTGAGTCTCTGACTGTAACCTAGTAAAATATATCTAATGTTAAACTTCCATGTGAAGGTGAAGACTTTGTTAAACATCCATTTGAATCCTTAGTTTTAGAACATAATCTGCCAAAACTTCTGAAGTTATCTAAAAGGTGTCCTTTTCAGTATCTGCTTCTACTCTGGCTTTACTCAAGATGGAATCAGGCATTGCGTGGTCCTCTGGAAAAGGGGAGTGTGGTTTCTGGGAGAATTTAATTATAGGCAAATGTATTAGTTTTCTATTCCTGCTATAAAAATTACCACAAACTTAGTGGCTTAAAACAACACACGTTTATTATCTTACAGTTCTCGAAGTCAGAGTCGAAAATAGGTCTACAGGGCTGCATTCCTTCTGGAGGCTCCAGGGGAGGGTCTGTTTCCTTGCCTTTTCCATCTTCCAGAGGCTGCCTATATTTCTTGGTTTATGACCCCTTCTTTGGTCTTCAAAGCATGTCACCCAATGTCTGCTTGCATGGCCTCATCTCCTTCTAACTTTGACCCTTTCTTTACTGATACAGAAACTAAGGAACAAAATGAGGGTGAGAAAACCTGTTTAAGATTAGAGAGTAATTCAGTTGTAAAGCAGGGCCAAGAACCTAGGTACTCTGTCTCCCACTTCGCTTTATGCACTGTTGTTGTCTTATCCAGTGCTAAATGAATAAGGATTATGAATAAGAATTATGTGATAAATCAATTTCAATTTCAGCTCATGAGAAAATGTTCAATGTACTTTACTATTTACTTGAAGATTGTCATTTTTGATAGGACTTGTCTAACTGAATGCAGTCATTTCTATTGTTAGCTGTAAACTATTCTTTCCCTCGTACTCCAGATGTCTATTTTTGGATCTTTTACCTGTAAGGAATTTGTTCTCTTAAGTTGACTCCTATACGTATTTTGCACTCGGGCCCTTTTTACCTGACAAACCTTATCTGTACAGAATGTAGTGAAGAACCAAGGAGTTAACAAAAAATGCCTCACCAAAATTATACTGTGTCCAAGATTTAGATAGTGTGCCCCCTTTACTCCTGTGAGAGCTCCCTGCCTGTTCCCAGTGAGACTTCTAACACTTGGTTTGTTCCCAGTACTAAACTAAAAAGCTTGTTAGCTGTTTTTATGAACTTTGCAGATAAGGAAGAGCAAATCAGAAAGCAGTAATGGGAATTCTTCTACAGCGAGATAAACTGATAGTGGTATTTTACAGGTGACTGCCTCACAGTGAGGGAGAAGACACAGTGTAAAGGACCCAAGAATCACACACGTTCCAGTCTGAGGTTTTTGGCATAGAGACCTTGCACTCAGTACACCCTAAGATTACCCTGATGTTATGTCCCAATACAAACATAATAATCCTAATGAGATCCTGAGTTGGTAAGAGGTAGTTTAAAGGAGAGAAATGGGTATTTAAAAGAACTCTGTCCAATATGATTATATTAATAAGAAACACAATTTTATGAGTGCTTAGTGTTCACCAGTAGTTTACACTGTGCACATTACAAATGGTTTGCTCCTAATTTTAATCCTCACAGTACGTAGATATATTATCCTCATTTACAGATGAGATGTGTAGAGAGGTTAAATAACTTGCCTTAGGTCACACAGCTATTACGTGACAAAGGCAAGATTTTGCATGTCTTATTCCAAAGTTCATGTTTTCCCATACTGCTGTTAAAAGCTGTGTTTATAGAAGTAAGTCTAACTGGGAAATTAATTACGTACAATGTCACGTAATTCACAATTCCACATAGTTTAAAACATTACTATATCTTGCCCGGGGAATAATCAACTTCTCAAAATTAGAAGGCAGGAAAATCTGATACATACTTTATATAGTGTTATTTTCCATAAAACAAAAACTTTTGGGTGAATAATAGTACTGCTTTATATTTTGCTTAAATACTTTTCACATAAATCATTTTGTTCTTAAAGTCTCAAGAAGCCGAAAGTCAGGATAAGTCATAGTACCCCTGTTCTACATGAGACAGTGCGCCTTAGAAAATAGAGAACTTGCTGAAGGTCACAGAGATAATAAATAATAAAGTTGGATCTAGAAGCCAGGTTTTCATGTATTTAGGCCGTTTCTTTCTGTGATATCATGTTTTTACTTACTGCTATTTTATTCCTAAGACACAGAGACTATGTACATAATCATATTTTTAAACAATTTCATAATTCATCATTTATAAAAGCTGTTAATCAGTTTTTACTGCACTCATTGCCTTATAAATAGCAATGTAATTCAAACTAAGGGTAAGAATTTAGGTCAAATGATAAACTTATGAAATCAGTAGAGACAATAGTGAAAATAGTTGCTATTATTGGAAGGTCAGAATTTCCAGAATTTTCAGACATTATTTGGCAGTCAATCAAAACATTGTTCAGCCTTAATTTATGCTAGAAATATATCAGTTCTTTGTGTGTATTGAGCTTTTTTAGGAGAAATAAATTTATGGATATAACATTAAGGAAAATCTTTATGATTAAAGAGAGAAACGTGAATGAAATTTGTTCAGATTCTCTGTATACTTCCCTGGCCGTGAAGATTGTATAGGAATTTTAGTTTTAAAATCGGTGAGAAGAAAGACCTGCTTCCCCTACACTTTTTGCTCTTATGTAGCACTCCATGTCACAGGCCTGAGCTCAGATCCTCTCTTCCTGAGAAATTAGCAGGTCGCCACAGTGTAGCCAACTGTCTTATTAATGCAGTATTGTCCCAAGCACATCGCAGTGATTTGTGTCAGGCAAAAGTTGCTTAGGATTCCTTTTCAGTAAATGCTATCTGACCATTGCTTTTAATGTCTGCATTTTGAATGGTCTACTTAGTGTCCCATTTTGATTTTTTTTTTTTTAATTTTGGAGTTTTAAAAAATACTTTTATACACAGTTTTTTTTCCTACAGTATCTCACAGGTGTTCTATTTCTTTATCAGAAATTTGTGTATAGAACTCTTCTTAGTTTATTCTGGCAGGTGATAAAGTTTGTTTAAGTAGGTTGGATTTGTTTAGCTCAAACACTTCTGCACATTAATTTAGAAATGGACTTTAGTTACCTTACTTCGCTTTGAGGAAAATTAATTTGCAGTTATGGTGCTCCAGAAGCAGGATGTGCCATAGTTCGCTCATCACTTTGTCTGAAGGTCTTGAGTGTGTACATAATTCTATAAATTCTGTTATGTATCCTTACACATCTTTAGCTTGAGCTCTTGCTATCCTAATGGGTTGTCTTTTCTTTCTGTTGTTTTCTTAGTGAGGCTTTCCTTAAGAGTTTTTTTCCTTATCACTTAATAGCACCTCACATACTAAGCATTTTAGTTTTCTATCTGTTTATTAAAGGGCAGCTAGAAGAAAGACTTCGATATCCTGACACTGAAATCTATGCGTAGTTTCTCATGGAAAAATGAAGCAGACTCTCACTCAGAGTCGATTTTCTTGAAATTTACACGTGGTCTGCTGATTTATCTACTTTCTGGTATGTTAGAAGCAGTAAATTAAATAGGAGTGGTAGAACAGACAGATATGCTTGTAATCGTGAGAAATAAATGGCCAGAAAGATGTCATGAAAAAACTTAAAAAAATGGTATAATTACTTTAAAAAGTGAGTATCTATTTACGTAGCTACAGTAGGGTCTTCAGGAGAACATTAAAAGGGGTAGGAGAACTGGTATTCACCCTATTTTGGACACTTCTTCATATCCTACTCCATAAACAAAAAGATGCAGAATGAGAAAAATGTCGTAAGTTTTAGTTTGTACATGCCCTGGATTTTTTTTCTCTTAGTGAGTCCGGCTATTATAAACTATAAAAACTAAATATTGCAACTTAAGATATACATGAACCCCCTCTATCTTCTGGCTTTACGACTTTGCTTAGTGAGTTTAAGATGCACTTCAAATTTCAGCTTTAGTTTTAATGTTAGGAAAACATTGTTTTAGACTTCATGATTTAAAAAGATGTTTACAAAGAGCATAATTAAAATTGCTTTTTCTCTTAATTTTGGTTCCAAAAATATCTTAATATCTTAAAAAAGTATCTTAGTTTAAATATTTTTTAAAAAGAGAAATTTCTCACTTCCTTCTCTCTCTTTCCTCCTCTCTCCCTCCCCTTCCTCTGTTCTTCTTTCTCTCTCCCTCCTTTCCTCTCCCCCAATTCTTTCCTCTCTTCCTCCCTCCCTCCCTCCTAGGTTCGAATGGCTCTAAAAAAGGCTGAAAAAGAATTTGAACTTAGAAGCAGCTGGTCTGTTCCAGATGCACTTCAAAAATGGCTTCAGTTAACTCATGAAGTAGAAGTACAGTACTACAATATTAAAAGGCAAAATGCGGAAATGCAATTAGCTATTGCTAAAGATGAGGTACTCTACTGTTTTTCAAAGCTTCCTAATTTCTAAAGGGATTAACTAATTGGCGTACAAAGATATGGATAAAAATTTTATTATTGCAGATTCTTTTCATGGATTGGTACTTATTGCATAAATTGACTTATAATCATAGGCTGCAAAGTAAAATTACTTTATTTAGAGAAGTATATACCTTTCAGAATGACCTTAAAGTCATTTAAAAATCATCCCTATTATCATTATCATAAATGTTTTATACAGAGCTTTTCTCCTCTAGGTTGCTGCTTCATGTCTGATTCAGGTTAGTAGTTACTAGAAATTAATGTCTGACTCTTATTAAATTGTGTGAAATAAGATTGTCTTAATCTGATTTCTAGCCAAAAAAAAAAAAAAAAAGCTCAGTTCACTTACTAACACCTCCATTACAGTAAGACATAGTTAATGTTATTCTCTTCGTTTTACTAGAAGATTCAGGTCTTTCTGAACAATAGAAATGAGAGAAAAATTCTCCAGAACAGTTTGGAGTTACATTGATTGGTTTAGGAAAGCATGCTTTCTCTCTCATCTGTTTTCTTTTTTGGAAAATAGGGCTATATCTTGGCTAATAATTCTCTACTGATTTTATGATTCTTAATATATTCAAAACAAAATAAACTTCATTAGTATATGTGTATTTTTTCCTAAACCTAGCCTTACTTTTCTTTCTTTGGGTTTCTAGGCAGAGAAAATTAAAAAGAAGAGAAGCACAGTCTTTGGGACTCTCCATGTTGCACATAGCTCCTCCCTAGATGAGGTAGACCACAAAATTCTGGAAGCAAAGTAAGAATGTTATTTTAGCTATCTGTTTATTTTTATTATCTTGAAATGTGTAATTTGTAGACAATTCATATTTTAATCTGTCATTCAATCATGTATGATTACATGATTTATGCTAATTCTAAGAGTGGGTAATTTCTTCTTGAAATTAATTTGCCTTTTTTCAGTGCCATATTAAAGACTCTTTGATGAACAACAATTCATCCCAATATTAATTTTCCAGGAAAGCTCTCTCTGAGTTGACAACTTGTTTACGAGAGCGACTTTTTCGCTGGCAACAGATTGAGAAGATCTGTGGCTTTCAGATAGCCCATAACTCGGGACTCCCCAGCCTGACCTCTTCCCTGTATTCTGATCACAGCTGGGTGGTGATGCCCAGAGTTTCCATTCCACCCTATCCAATTGCGGGAGGAGTTGATGACTTAGATGAAGATACACCCCCGATAGTGTCACAGTTTCCAGGTAAGTGGTGAGCTCAAAAAAGAAAGTTGGTGGAGTTTTTAAAGTAACTTTATGCAATGCCTTTTATGAATCATTTACTTCGAAATCTACGATAAAAATTTCGTGTATTCTTCATTTTCTCTTTCCTCTTTTTGTTGTTAATAATGTTTACTGTTTGAGAATGCTATATGAGGTGTGTGTATGTATTTATATACACACATGTACACGTATACATACACACACGTATAATAAAACATCATACATGCTAAATCATTGTATGAATGAAGTGCTGAGCCTTGAGGGAAGACATCCTTTCAAATGGCAGCTTAATCTATGGTAGAAAGTAAAAATTAGGGGAAGATCTTGGAAACCTGAGTTCCAGTCCTAGCTCTACCACTAATTAACCAACTATATGACTTTGAGCCAGACTGTAATTTATTTTAAATTGAGTTGCCGTTCCCAGTAGGCATGTTTTTTAGTATTCTGTTTTGCTTTTCCAATTCTGTCCTTTTGTTGAAAGAGTATTATCCTGCTGTATTTAACTCATGAAACACTGAATCAACTTATCATTAAACAATATTAAATTGTGTTTATGTTTAGAAAAGGTCATATTTTTTTGTTGCTAGAAAATGGAACTTCTCCCAAAGGTGATTATAACATGTACATTTTTCACTGTATTGCGTTATTATGCTCTGTTCTTTGAAAATTTTTACGTTGTAAAGAATACATTTTTGTAAGAAGGTGAAATTTAAATATTTTAGGTTTTATTACTAAATTTTAGAATTTATTAGTATTTGGAGGTTTTGCAAAGTTATAGAGAGTTTACATTTCAAATGGTGTATTTCTTGTATTAGAAATCATTTGAAAAACTCTTTATCCTTGATTATTACCTGCCTGATTCATTTTTCCAATCTTTGTGACCTTTTTGAAACAGTGTACGGTCATGTGTTGCTTAACCATGGCACACGTTCTGAGAAATGCATTGTTGGGTGATTTGTCATCGTGCGAATATCATACAGTGTACTTACACAAACCTAGATGGTATAGCCTACTACACACCTAGGCTATATGGTACTAATTCTATGGGACCACCATCATATATGCGTCCGTCGTTGACTGAAATGTCGGTAGTGGTGCATGACTAGAGAGAGAACAAGATTCCAAAGAATGGAGAGCAGAATTTAATCATTGATAGGTTGAAAACTTACATAGAAATTTTAGTCTTTAAGACAAATCATGATACATGAGCATTGTCCAGTTTGAATTTTTCTATCCAATTGTTACAGCTTTTCTGAAGCTATAATTTAGAAAGGGTTCTAATTTTTAAAGCAACTTTATTAAATACAACCCTAAATTTGCAAATAAATAGTCAGTGACTGTGTACTTGTATTCATTTCTGTGGTTTTAATTCTCTGGCTTAATGACAGACAGATACGGCAAGCAGATTGGGGAGGCACTAAACTCTTAAAAGTGGAGGGAGGAGAGGACAGTTTGTGAATGCAGTGAATATTGGGAGTATGTGACCCCGCTCATTTCACTTGCCCCACACTGCAAGACAGTGATGATTGCAAAGTTATTTCCAGATCTGGCTTAACTTTGCTGTTTAAATATTGTCAGTTGTGTTTATTTGAATTATATGCCTTTAAGTTTGCCAAATGCAATACTGATTCATAAGCACATGATTTTGTTTGAAAATTAAAGCTTTTAAAGTTGTAATTCCTCCTTAGAATACACAACTATTCAATATCATAAATGTGCATGAAGATGTATTCCCTAAATTAACTAGTTTTTTCTGTGCTTTTCTTTTTAAAGTAACTTTTTGGAGGGGGAAAGATATCCATATGTGTATTAAAAGAAAACAACACTAAACATGAATAATTAAGTTTTCAGTGATTGTGATATACAGAGAAATTTCAACTTTTAAATGTGAAGAAAGTGCAAGAGTTGATTTTAGTTTAGTATGTTCTGGAAATGCTGTGATCAAATTTATTATTTCTGAAAAATAACTCTTGCCGAAGATTACACTTTGAGAGCTCTGCCTCCACCCAGTGGCACAACAGTGATACTCCATTCTGCTTAGTTATAAAAGCGTAACTTCTGGACCTGATAAAGAAGAAAGTCTTGGTAGTAGGACTGGGCTCTAGGGTGGGATGAAGGATCTTCATTATATACCCTCTGAACAGTTTTCAGTTTGTACCATGGGTATGTGTAAATTGTGTAAGTATAAAATAATCACAAGGAAACATTCTGTGGTATGGTAAGAGCAAAGTAAAAGATTGTAAAACTATTCACAGGATAATATTGTCTATGTTTAGTTGTCTGTAAAAAAAAAAGACAAAATAATATCAAAGGTTAGTGCTGTGTGGGTAGAAGAACAGATTATAATTGTTTTCCTATTACTTTTATAGTATCTGCTAAATATTCATAGTGGGAATGTGGTAGCAATTTATTTAAACTTTCTTGTTATAAAGCCCTTCAGATGGACTTAAAATACTGAAGATAATATTCTCACCTACTACAAAGATAAGCAGATTTTAACATTTTGCCTTATTCATGTCTTTTTCTCTGAAATAAAGCATTGCAGATACAGCTAAACCACCTCACCTCCTCTTTCCATTCTTCTAAAGTTGTTGTGTATCATTCTAAAGTCTGCTGTACTTTAATTACAGCAGGTATATCCATAAGCAATAGGTACAATTGCTGTTTGTTTAAAAAGTTTACATAAATATTATCAAGCTCTAGGTATCGCTTCGCAACTCCTTTTTGCTCAGAAGTATGTTTTAGAAATTTTCCATGTTTGTATATAGATTAAATTCACTGTAACTGTTTAATAAGAGTTAACCACAGTGTATCTGTCTATTGTAATAATAAACCATAGTTTATTTATCTGTTTTTCTACTGAGATAGGTTCTTTCTACTTTTTTGCGCTTACAAACAATATTGCAGTGAGTATCTTTAACTCTTTCTTTGTGCATAACTTTGAGAGTTGCTCTGGGTGGACACCTGGAAATGGATTGCTGAGTCATTGGTAAGGTACCTTTTATTAGTCATTGCTAAGTTGCTCTCAAAATGGCTCTATCAGTTCACACGCCCACCGTTTGTAAGAGTGCCTGTCTACCTGTCCTCTCCAATTCTTGGAATGATCTGATTTGTTTTATAACTCGAATGGATGTGATATGATACCTTACTGTTATTAAAATATTTATTTCCTAATGACTACTGAGATTGAGTACCATTTCATTTCTGGGTCTTTGTCATTTCTTCCTCTCTGAGTTGCTTGTTCCTGCTATGGAATCTCTCCAAGATTCCTAACCAGTCTGACTGGTCTGGAAGAGGTTTTTCTTTTTGATTTTTTTTTATTTTTCTGATTATTCGAGGGTTGCAGGTATTTTCTCCTAGGCTTTGACTTTTCTTTTTTACTGTCCTACATTATTTATTTTCTTTTTTAATCATATGAGTTTTTAAAAATCATTTTTAATGACAAATTATGAATCTGATTTGTGCTTTTTATGTCTTCTTTATGTCTTTTTCAGAAGATGATAAATTATTGTTTGATCTCCTAAAAGTTTTTAAGTTTTGCTTTAATCCATTAGTCTTTTAATCTACCTGGAAGTTATTTTTGTTCATATCGTGAGGAAGGAATCTAAATATATCTCTTGATGTATGGACAGACAGTTGTCCCAGCCTCATTCCTGCTCAATCCCTGCTGATTTGTAATACCACTTCTCTCCATAGATACATAAATGCTTCCAGGCTCTCTGTTTTCTTCCATTGGTCCTATTCTGCTTTAGTTGCTTTATATAGCTTTATAGTAAGTATTGATGTTTGATAGGTCTAAATTTTCCTTTATTATTCATGACCAGAATTGCTACTTTTGGCCATTGGGCTTTTACTGGAATTGCTTTGAATTTATTGATTTATTTGGGAAGAGTTGTTATTCAGAAATTTTATTGAGATCTCCTTTTATTTAAATAAAATTTATAATTTTCTCTGTACAGTTCTTGCATGTCCTTTTTTTTGTTGTTGTTGGTGAGGAAGATTGGCCCCGAGCTAACATCTGTTGCCAGTCTTCCTCTTTTTTTTTTTGCTTGAGGAAGATTGTTCCTGAGCTAACATCTGTGCCAATCCTTCTCTATTTTATGTATGGATGCCAGAACAGCATGGCTTGATGAGGAATGTGTAGTTCTGCGCCTGGGATATGAATCCATGAACCCCGTGCCGCTGAAGCGGAACATGCACTGGGCTGGCCCCGAATGTCCTTTTTTTAAAGATTAATTTCTAGCTTGTTTTTTTGTAGTTACACATGTTGCCTTTCTTAAAAATATTGTACTTCGAATTGCCCGTTGCTGATCTTTAGGAAAATGCTGTTGATTTTGGTATGCTGATCTTGCACTATATGGAAACATTAAATTCTCTAATGAGAGTCTTTTGGATTTTTTTGTGTGGACAATAATAATGAGTTATTTTTTCCTTTCCAATTGTTAATGCATTTTCCTCCTTATTGTCCAATCTAGGACCTCCAGTAAAATGTTGAATAAAAGTGGTTATTGCAGGCAATAGCAATTGCCATTTCTGACATTAGAGAGAATGCCTCCAATATTTCTCTGGAAATCATGAAGTGTGATTTTTTTGCTCTTTGTTTTTGATAGATTACTTTAAGTTAAGAAAATTAATTTCTATTCCTATTTTGCTAAGAATGATTTTTCCTTTAAATCACTTGATGTTAAATTTTACCAATTTTTTTTCTGCACGATTTGAGGTGATCAGTTGTTTTCATTTTCTTTTTTCTTTTCAAGATTGGCACCTGAGCTAACATGTTGCCAATCTTTTCTTTTTTTTCCCCCTTCGTCTTCTCCCCAAAGCCCCCAGTACATAGTTGTATATTCTAGTTGTGAGTGCCTCTGGTTGTGCTGTGTGGGATGCCACCTCAGCATGGCCTGATGAACGGTGCCATGTCCATGCCCAGGAACCAGCGAAACCTTGGGCCGCTGAAGCAGAGCACACGAACTTAACCACTCAGC